AAGAGACTATCATTCTTCCAGTGAGTTTGTTTGGCCCCTTATCAAAGATTAGGTGGCTGAGTGTGTTTGTGGTTGTGTCTATGTCTTCCAGTCTGTTCCACTGATCTTCTGGTTTGTTTTTTAGCCAGTACCATGTTGATTTTATGACAGTAGCTTCATAGTATAATTTCAGGTCAGGGATTGTAATTCCACCTGACTTGTCCTTGTTGCCCAGGATTGCTTTTGCTATTCTGGGTCTCTTCTGTTTCCAGATGAATTTAAGGATGTTTTCTCTAGATCTGTGAGGTATGCTAATGGTAGTTTAATGGGAATTGCATTGAATCTGTACACTAATTCTCTGATGGCATCCTGAGAAGATCTCACAACTGGGCAAGTTGATGCAGCTTACAAAAATGGGTTACAAACCTAATTCTCTAAAGTACATAGTTTTTCTTGTACTTGCTACATTTTAAAAGCCCAATACAGTCTTCTGAGCTAATGTTTAAAATGTACTTGCTACATTTTAAAAGCCCAATACAGTCTTCTGAGCTAATGTTAGCAACTTACCTCCAATTTAAACCCCCACCTCTGACACTGTGACTACCAGGTACAGTCTCATAATTTATATTCAAGTCCTCCTTTCCTTCTGAAGACTGATATAGCAGTCCCTAGTGGGCTTCCACAACTCACTAATTCCTTCTCCAACTGCAGTCAGAACACCTGCTCTCAAATTGATAATACCTCTCTATGCTTCTTCTGACTTATGGGATCTCCTCTCTGATTGGAAGAGCTTCCTTTTCTTTTCTTCAAGTTTTTTACTCTTTTTTTATTTTAAAGAGAAAAAACAATGAAACTAAGTTTCAAAACAAGATGATGCAAAGACAAACAGAAACACCAAGATGACACCTAGGATTTGGAGGCAGATTTATTTGCATCAATGGGCAATGATTGGGATCATTCCCAGACTACCAGGCCCTGATCTTTGGTGGTCTAGGGCTTCTATGGGATAAGCAAGTGGAGGTACAGAGGCAGAATGGCTTGTCAAGTGGGGAATGGTTTATACAATGTGCCTCGTAGTGACCAGCTGTGCATCACAGTGACCAGCCATTTCTAAGAGACAGAAGCAACCAGAACTGGAACAGGAACTGTTATCTGAGCAGCTAAGGAACTGAAGTATACTGGATGGGGGACATTTTCTATTACAATAATAGGAGAGTAACCATGGTCAATACATTGTATATTGTTATCTTCAAAGCAGTTGCTCAGAGTTCAAGATATAGACATGTGAAACTGACCAAACGATATTAGCACAAACCTTTCTTTTCAGTGAGCTAAGAGAAACTAGTAGTATAACTACCATATATAATATGTATATGTATTTCCTTTCCCCTTCCTTCTTTTCTCTTTTCTTCCATCAGTTTCTTTTTCCTTTTGAACAGCTTCCTCTCTTACCAATTGTACATTTTCCCCCATACTTATTGCACATTTCAAATCTTATTTACCCTTTGAACAGTTTCTTCCCATTTCACAATATTTGTTGTACACATTAAATAGTATTTACTCTTTCAGATTCCATGTTCTTTGCTTTGAATAAAATATTTCATAGGGGAAAATTTTTTGTGCCTTTTTCCTCTCTCCTTTTCTTTCACTCAGTTTTCCATATGAGATGAAGAATATATTCCAAATCATGTGGTCTGTGCTTCCCAGTGGTGGTCTGCCTATAGGACACATGTAAACCTTCAGTCTCCAAGTGTAAATGCAGTTGTCATATCAGGATCTTATAGGATGGAGGAAAATGCATAAGATCTTGGATCCTACCTGCAAGCTCATCTAGATCCCTCTGTAGTAAATCTGCTCTTTCGAGCCTTTTCTAAATTCTGTGCCTGTTAGTGCAATGCTGCAGAATCTAGAGAGGAAGGATGTAAGTAATTAGCATTTATAAACTCATTCATAATATACTCTCCATAACTCCACTAACTGATAACTCATGACCCCCAACCATCAAGCAGAATAAGAACCAGTCATTTCAAACTACTCATCATTCTTTAAGTGGAGAATGCTGCCTTTGTGTCTGCAGATAAATAGCAAAGATCCCTTCCATTCTGATTCTTCTCTCTGCTCACCTTTAACCCCTGCTCAAGGGCCATTATCTCTCTGAAGTCTTCCCTGTTTACCCTCAAGTAGAAGTGGCCATTTCCTCTATGATGTCTGCAGAGTTTATCATACTTTTCCTTTTTATAAAGCATCTTCTTGTTGTGCAGCAGTTTTCACATGCTATTGCATTATTAGACCATTTTCCTTCTGCCTGTGTGTGTATGTATGTGTATCTCTGTGTGTGTGTGTGTATGGTGTCATATTGGAGATCAAACCCAGGGCCTTTGCACTGAGCTACATTACCAGCCCTTTTATTTTTAATTTTTAATATTTTGGTACAGGGTCTGGCTAAGTCTCCCAAACTGGGCTCAAGCTTTCGATCCTTCTAGTTCAGGTTTTTAGCGTTAGATCACATTCTTTCATTCATCCTCACACTTTCTCCATCAATCACATTCCCAGCTATTCATAGCTGCTGAAAACTTTTTTGAACATAATAATGAATAAATGAAGAAATAAAGGATTAAAAACCAGTGCCTGTAATGGACCAAGCTCTGTGCCAAGTGACTGAATATTACGAAGAAGCTAAGATGTCCCAATATAGAGAAAAAATTACTCTGCTTGAAATAGCTATGCTTGTGTTACCAAATGAGGTTGAAGGTTTGGCTAATCTAGAATTGAATTTCACACACAGCTTTACCTAATAATACAGCAGGGAGGTCTTGGGATGACTGAGGGTCTTGCTGCCCAGTCTCTGTCCATCGCACTTAGACTGAAGACTACTTGAGCTCAGCAGTCAGGGCATCTATCTCCACAGGGAGCCAAAGCCTCTCAGCTCTGATGATGGGCTTACGTGAGCAGAAACACAAAAACAGAACAACCTATGATTGGACCCTTTGCTTAGCCCCAGAAAATCTGGTTGGAAGGTAATAAAGCAGTCCTATAGGCAGAGATGAATACCTTCACTGAGGATTACAGCCTATAGGATGGGCCTTCAAGGCTTTCTCTGGATTTATTCTATGACCTGTGGCTTCCACGTGCTCTAAGCACCTCTTTCTGAAGTAAAGGAATCCAAGTTGTTCTACCTCTTCCACAGTCCCTCCTTGGAGGCTAAGTGCCAATGAGAGATGGTCACATGCCTTTCCCTGTGGGAGCTGTTTCCCTTGTTTACATAGTGCAGAAGTGAAGCAGAGATGGGTGGAGCTTGGCTCACAGCAGAAGCAAATCAGAATGCCTGTTTACTTTTCATTTTTTTCTTTCAGCATCTTTCTGTCAGTTCCAGCCACCTCCCTTCCTCTAGATTCTAAACATGCTGAATTCAGCAAGTCCAACTCTGTAAGTTCTGTCTCTTGGGTCCATTGGTTACTGGCCATCTGATAATGCTTCTGCTGCACCCAAGGACTGGCCTCTCTTCCTCCTCTTAGCCCACTTGTAGCCAAAGCTGAACACTACTGCTCCGAGCCTACTTTCAGCTTTGAGTTTCAGCTTTTGACTTTCAGCTGTCCAGATCATGGCTCTGCTATTCACCTTGATCCTTGGTGAGTATCTCTGCTCCTGTTGATTTAGATTTTGGAGTTATCTGGAAACTTTAGAAAAAACCTTTCCCTACCCATATTCAGATATCTTTCAAGGATGGCTTTCTTCCTCATTTCTACACTGGGCAACTATTTTAAAACCTAAAAATACCTTTATTCAATCTAATTTATAGTATGCTTTGATTGCCAGCTGTTTTCTATTTTCTTGTATTTGCACCAACAGAATTATAGCAGCTCATCTCATTCCACTTTGAAATAACTCTATCTATATATCACATTTAGTGGCAGATGCCTGTAATCCTAGCACTCTCTGAGGCTGAGACAGGAGGATGGCAAGTTTGAGCCCAACCTGGGCAACTTAGTGACTTAGTGAGATCTTGTCTTGAAAACAAAACAAAACAACAACAACAAAAAACAATTAGAAAAGGGCTGGAGATGTAGCTCAGTCTGAAGGGCCTGGGTTTTATCCCAAGTACTTAAAAGAAAGAACACAAAGGGAAGCAGCAGGTAGAGCGGGGCAAGAAAGCAGAGCTGCAAAAGTATCACCTTTCACTGATCATTTTGTCTGTTTCCCTCTGAAAAGTGATTCATATAATGTTTCTCTAATTTTCTGCAGTGTCTTCCTGCCTAGGTTAGGCTAGAAATTATCTTAGATAATACGGAGACTTTGGAACCAAAGAGAGCTGTATTTTAGTCCTGGCTCTTTGATTTCCTAGCTGTCTGAATTTGTAGGTTTCTATACTTCTCCAAAATTCTGCTCTTTAATTTATGAAGTAAAAATAATGTTATTGTTTTCAGAGGTTTGTTAGGAAACTTCTCATAAGATAACAAATATGAGGCCTCTAACAAAGTCTGCTAAACCTCTACTTTAATCAGTCACATTCATTTTTATTGTCTTAGTGATCTAGAGTAGCGGTGATGAACGTATCTATGGCACACATGTTGTAGTGGGCTTTTTTTGTCACTGAAGGAGCTAAAAGGTTCGCTGTCACAGATGTAGGGCATTACCAGAGTTCTTTCAATTTAGTACTCATAGTCCCAGTGTAAGGTGCTGGTTCTATCTTAAACACCCTTATATCCCCAACAGCACCTGACAGCTAGTGCTGCCCCTCACGGATGTTTAACTAAGCCTCCCATGTTCCTTCGAAGTCTCAGCTCCCTCATGAAGTCTTTCTGGTCTGTGCCACTCGCCCGTGTCCACCCTGTGAGTGGCTTCAAGTCACCAACTTTGCCATCTCCCTTTCGCACTTGTGTAACAGTCTTGGCACATTCACTTTTTGTCTCATGTTCACAGGTTTTGTGTGGGAGGCCATGCAAGGATGATGTATACTTCAGTTTGAGACAGTTGCTGACAAGGCCCCACTGAATCTGAGGGTGGCCACATACTGAAGATTTAGGCCATGGGATTAATAAAAAGATATCCACCAACCAGAAGAAAATATTTCAGCATTAACCACTAAAATATTTAGATCTGCCTGACAAGCTCAGGGGTGGAGGTCTAAAGATACTTGCTGTTTCAGAAAAATCCTATAAGATAGGGATGCTGGGTGAGTTATACAGTTGGAAATGCCTAGACCTCAAGGGCTACTGAAGGTCACAGAGTTCAGGACTCTCCCGCATTAAGAGAGAGTCTAGAAGACAGAGGAGTCCAACCAGACAAAGAACCTATAGAAACAAACAAACAAACAAACAAATCCATAAAACACAGTGGTCCCAGGATGTGCTTAGAGCTTAAACCTAGAGATTTGGAACTAAATATAGTCTTGAGCTGTTCCTCTAAATCAGTTGTCCGCAAACCATATCCTACAAGCTTAGAATGACTTTTACATTTTTTTTAATTGTGGGGAGAAAACAAAAAGAAAAATAATATTTAATGACACATGAAAATAAAATAAAATTTCCATTTGTGTGCATGAAGGTTTATTGGAACATGGCCATGTCTTTCTGCCCACAGATACATGGCTGTTGATGCTAGAAGGGTAGAGCTGAGTAGTTGCAACAGAGAACACGAGGCCTACAAAAGCCTAAAATGCTTACCTTCTTGCTTTTTATAGTAAGTCTTTGCTGGCCCTGACCTAAACACAGTGCCGGTGGACACAGGCAAACTCGCCACTCTCCTCTGGTCTCTGCGCTGTCTTGATGGTTCCCTCAGGTGCTCCTGAGTGCATCTTTCCAGCAGCCTCCAGAGCTCTTTACTGTTGAGCCAAGAAGCTGAATCACCATCCTTCTACTTCAGGCAATTACAACCAATCATTCTCATTGACTAGAAAACCAAATCTACCTGTGTGTGGGTTGAGCCACAGCACATGTAAAGGGAACAGGCTGGGTCAGTTAGCTGTGGGAAAATTGGTCTCTGAGGTTCCTGGCCCATGTCCTGCTGTGACCTAGGAGAAGAAAGTCACAGCAGGCTCTGTATCTGCCTGTCCCATGTTCTCTAAAAGGTTAGCAAGTGCCTTCTAGAGTGCTGAATTCTTTGAATAAAGCCTTGGAAACTTACTCTACAACTGCACTCACTTTCTTTTTTCTTCCTTAGCCATTTGTGCTGGACCTGGCCTCTCAGGTAAGATTTGGGGTTGGTGAGATGGGAGGAACGATGTCGAGAGAAAGGCTTCCAGGCTTCCAGGGTTAGGAGAGGGGAAACTTTGAAGCTTCCTGGGCTATGGAGAGAAACTGTACTTCAAAACAGGCCCAATAACCTCCCTTTCTGGTTTCCTATTCTACCCTATAAGTCTTATGTGGGTAAATTTGTACCTCTGGAATCTGAAAGGGTCAATTGTTGTTTAACTTGCCAAGGGACCTCTTCCTACCTTTTCTCTGTGACTCAAGAAGCTTGGCCAGCATCCGAATGAGAGAGCTACATTTTAGGTGCAAAAAGCTCTTTACCCTGTCTTAATTCCTTTGTCATCACTGGGACAGAATACCTGATACCTTAAAGGAGGAGAGGTGTATTTTGGCTCTGGTTTCCAGTTCATGGTCAGCTGACTCCTAGGCAGACATGTCATGGTGGAGGAGCTGGGGCAGAGAACAGCTGCTATTCCCATGGCTGCTAGAAAGTAGAGTGGGGGTGGGAGTAGAGATAAGGTGAGGAAGCACCAGGGACAAGAATATACTCTTTCAGGTCACACTCCCACCTCCAATCAGGATCTACCTCCTAACTGCAAGTGGGCTATGCATCCCCATGATCCAAGAACACTGCGGTGACATTTCAGCTCCTCAGTGCATACAACTGAAGAATGAAATTCCTTTTGCCCTGCTGGTTTCCAGCTAAAATAGATCTCCTTGACAGCCTTACTGGCACCTTTAAATTAGAAATACATCTGATTTTGTGCAGCTTGATCAGCAGAAGACAGAAGGGGTTTCAGCCTCCCTGGGGTGTCTTTGAGCAATGCACCAATTTTGCACCCAAGAAGAGGGTGGGGCTGCCCAGAAAGAATGAGTCCATGGGAGAAGAAGGCTTTGGGTGGTCCACAGTCAAGGAGGGTCTTCATGGATTACTGTTTGTTTTATCCTATATATCCAATCTCTCACTCGATGGCAGAGTCCTGACCTACAAGCTGCTCTTGGTGTGGAGAATCCCTGATGGATGCAATTTGATTCCGTAAAGATGCTGCTTCTAAGATCTCATCCCCATATTCAGATTACTTGGTCTTTTTACTTGGCTTGCAGGGTTGTCACTTATGTCACTGCAGGCAGGAAACTGCTCTCTTTATAACCCTCTACTCCACAGGAGGTTGCTCTCTGGGTTCTTCTCTTCAGCCATTTGCTAATAAAGTAAGCTACAGACACTGCCAAGGACATGGCTTCCCCCAAGGACACCCTAATCCCTACCCTTTACCTTTCACAACTTTTCTCAGCTTTCTATTCCCGCAGTCTATATTTCTTTTACAATAATTCTTTGTTTCTTTTTTGCTTATTTCTTTCTTCCTGGGAACTGCTCCAGTCTTTTACTACATTCTTGCCTTCTTCATTGAAGATGAATAACCCTAATATTAACTATTTACAGGGGATGGGGATTTAGCTCAGTGGCACAGCACCTGCCTGGAAAGTGCAAGGTTGTGAGTTCGATTCCCGGTACCAGAAACAAAACAAAACAAAACAAAACAAAAGAATCTATTAACTATTTACAGTAATACCAACTAAAACTCTAATCTTAGATTCAATGACCTCAAAATTATTTCTGAGTGACTTGAATTACATTTTACCCAGATATATAGCCTTTAAACTCAAATGTGCGATGCTGGAAATTTATCTTAAGTTTTGTCATGAAATCTTCAGTTTCTATCTCTAGTCTCTGTCTATGGCCGTACAACCTTGAATGCATCTGATCTCGTCTATCTCTAGTCTCCACTCTTTATATTGTCCTCCCTTCCAAAAAAAAAAATGAAGAAAAGAAACAGAAACAAATCAGTCAACCACACATAAACTTCTCAGTGCAGTTTAACGTCAGCCAGATTAGAGTTTTCTCTCTCAATGACCGCTCCTGGGTTGATTCCAAGTCTTGGGGAATTTGTGCAGAGCTGAGACAAGAGAACAGTTGGAAAACAGGAGTCACATTCCATCCATGCAGGCATCTGGGTCACCTTATGTGGCTCAGCATGGCCTCTATTAAGCTGTTCACATCCCATTAGAACACAGACCACCAGTCCAAACGGGGCCTTTCCTGGTATAGCAGATCTTTCTCAGCTAACTGTGCCACTGTAGAAAAGAAGTGGCACATTCAGCTCTGAGCTATACTGCTGTCAGGCTCCAGTAGATTTGCTGAGATTGTCTCAAGTTACTAACTCTTCAGTATTTTAAGGGCATAAATCATGAGTTTGCTCATCCCTGTTCTCTGAGTCCATAATACAATACCTGAAACCCATTGTGTGCTCAACAAATATTTATTGTCTGATGTGTTCCTCCCTAGTCTGCACAGCCAGCTCCACCCCACTTGTATATCTTTGCAGGGGAAAGAATTTCTGTTAGTCTTTTCAATATGCAGAATTCAAATCAGGAAACAGAACCAAGTCTTTGATTCTTCAGAATGTATCTGTAGGCAGTGTAGTACCTCCTTGTTACCTCTTAGAATCCTCTACTGTTGTAGAGCCTTTTTGATGATTTGCTGATTTCTGTTTGCTAATATTTTATTGAGTATCTTTGCATTTATGTTTATTAGGGAGATTGGCCTGTGTTCTCTTTCTTGTTTGGGTCTTTCTCTGATTTTGGTATCAGTATAATACCTGCCTCCAGAATGAGTTAAGGAGAATTGCTTCCTTTTCAATTGCATTGAAGAGTTTGAGAAGAATTGGCATTAAATCTTCTCTGAATTTCTTGTAGAATTCAGCTGTGAATCCATCAGGACCTGGGCTTTTCTTTGTTGGCTTTTAATCACATAAAATCTGAAAGGTATAATAGATATTGTGAAAGGTAAAGAAACTTCCCAAAGGGAGGGAACTACTGGGATGAGGGAAAAGAGAAAAAGAAAGAAGGGAAAATATGTATATATATATATATATATATATATATATATATATACATATATATATGTGTGCATACACACACACACACACACACACACACACAGGATAACCGAGAGTTGTACTACTGACTTCTATTGCTTTATTGAAAGGAACAGTTAATGTTTAATTGTTTGATTCGTCTTACATGCCTATATTTGTTTTTTTTTTACATGCCTATATTTGTTGAACTGAGTAACCAATTTGAAGATAACAATATGTGATATAATAACTATTGTTAATTTCCTATCCCCTTGTCTGAAACTCTATTGTTTCTATTGCTTGGGTGTTGTTTTGTTTGTGTCTGTTTGTTTGTTAATGTGTTTTCATTCTTTATCTTTAGAAAGTAAGAAAACAAGGATCCTCTACTGAAATTATTTGGGCTCTGAGACTCTGGGAGCTCTGACTCTTTCCTTGATTTGTGCTTTTCATATTTCTTCTGAGCCAGGAGCTTGGACAAAGGATGGTGCCCCAGGAAGCAGCAAGAATGGGTACAGTTGGGTCACTGACAGCAGAGAGAGTGAGGTTGTTCAACCTAAATTATGTAATTATGTTCAGGCAAAGTTATTCAAATTATGCTTCAATCTGGCTATTGTGGAGAGAGTCAATCATTAAATGTGATCTTCACACCCATGTTCTGTCCTGATGTTTCCATTATTAAACAGTATAATCCCAGGGCTATCATTTCCACGAGGATCTTTTCCCTCATCTATGAAATAGCGCGTAGCTGTGATTACCTCTACTGGCCTTTCTAATTCTGACCACCAGAGTCTAAAAATTCTACAGAATCAATCAATCTCTTTCCGCTGACCTGAAAAAGCCAGCAGTAACATCTAGGTATCTTGAGGTGGAGTGTCTTCACTAGGGTGTAATGGAGTATGTAGTAGAAACAGAGCTCAGAGCTGGAGTCCTGCAGCTCTCTCCTGCTTTGAGCTCTCCATTCTAGTTCCCTAACCTGTCACACGCTCTGTCACTATGGAGGCATCCAAGACTAACTGAGTAAGTACATCTCTGAGCTCCGCCACGGAGCTCCGCCCAGGTCTTTAGCCACTATCCTGTCTCTTCACAGAGACTCCACCCAGAGTACGACTGGTGGGAGGTCCCCACCGCTGTGAAGGGCGAGTGGAGGTGGAGCGGAGCGGCCAGTGGGGCACCGTGTGTGATGATGGCTGGGGCCTGGAGGATGTGGCTGTGGTGTGCCGAGAGCTGGGCTGCGGGGCCGCCAAGAAATCCCCTAGTGGCACTGTATATGGGCCTTTGGCAGAAAAACATCAAAGTATCTTCACCCAAAATGTCAATTGCAATGGGATGGAAGACACCCTGGCTCAGTGCGAACAAGATGAAGAGGTGTATGGTTGTGATCACAATGAGGATGCCGGGGCATCATGTGACAGTAAGTACGGTAGGGCTCGAGGATCATGTACCAGCTGCCCATAGCCTACCTAGCCACTTTTCTTGGTCTTCAGCCCCTGTCCTGCACTTTCACATAGTGGCTAGTCAGCTCTTCATCATGTCTGAAGCTACCACAACTGTGAACCCTGGAAGGAATAATATTCTCACCTAGAACTTTTACTCCTACTAATGTTTTCCTTTTAGTTTCAATCTATACAAAAATGTGTTTCTCTTATTTATGCACATGAAAACGAACATACACCACACAACTAAACATTTGTTGAATGATGTATCCTATGTCTGGGGTGGAGTTCTAACTTTCCTCTAGGAAAGAAATGAACTCACAAGGTCTTATGTGTGCCTTTGGGGTAGTTGCAGTTCTCGTGGAGTCTGCAGTCTTGTCAAGTAGACAGGAGAAGGTCACAAGAAAGCAGCGCAATCTCATGGCTAGTTAGATAGATGGTAGCTAGAGCAATACGTACCTATACAGACCTGCATTTTTTAATTTTAGCTCTCTCATATATTTGCTTTACAAATTTAATAACAATTTCTCCCTTTGTGTATTCCTCTCTTTTGTTAGACTGTGATCTGACTAGGGGGTTGTCTATGTCTCCTCCCACAGACTTTGGAAACAATTACTTTTACCCTGATGCTGAAGTCTCATTCTTATTTCTTAGAAAGGTTGAGGATTGGGATACTTGGTTAATGTTAACATTGAGCTAAGTTTTTTTCCTACCTTTTATGTTTACATAGATAGATAGAAAGGTTCATGTGTACATACTGTAGAGGTTATACTGAGTCTAATTAACTGTCTCATGAAGAACTGAGGAACAGTGAGATGAATGTGAAAGTAATTAGACAAATTAAAATGCAACGAAATCATAACGATTCACCTGACACTAAGAAGCATTCACCTCATTGATTCATTCATCCATTCTCTCAACAAGTATCTATTAGGCAGTGCTCAGCTCTCTAGAGGCTCTCTGGGGGCTCTCGAGGGGCTCTCTAGAATACATTATGCTGAACACAAAGAACTGAGCTTTGTATATCCTGGGACTCCTGTTTTATTCTTGCAAAAAACAGACCCTCTGGCTTTCTTTCTCTGCAGATCCAGAAAGTTCTTCTTCTCCAGAGCCAGAAAGCTCTTTCTCCACAGGCCCAGAGATCCCTTTCTCCCTAGTCCCAGAGAACGTGCGGCTGGCTGGTGGCCCTGGACGCTGTGCTGGGCGGGTGGAGGTGCAGCATGAGGGCCGGTGGAGCACTGTGTGCAAAACAGGCTGGAGCCTCCAGGCTGCGAAGGTGTTGTGTCGGCAGCTGGGATGTGGGAGGGCCTTGCTGGTCCTAAGACAATGCAACAACACTATCCAGGGTCAAGGATCCATCTGGATGAGCATGATGAAATGCTCAGGACAAGAAGCAACCATTCAGGATTGCAATTCTGGGCCTTTGAAGAAGAACAGCTGTACACATTTGGATGACACATGGGTAAAATGTGAAGGTAATGGAAGGTGATGTTTACTTATCCAGACACTAGGTTCATTTGTGGAGATGATTATGAAACGGAAGCTGATTCAAGTAATATATACAACTACTCCATGCACCAATGGACCAACCAGTCAAACTTAGTTATGTAGATTGTCAGCTGTCTTATTTTTAAAAAGGGTATAATGATAACTTTTTTTTTTTTAAAGATAAAAGGAGGGAAACATTAACAGACATACAACATTTTACAACATATCATAAGCACAATACAGACAATACAGAGTTACAAA